CCGGTTTATCTCAACCGGTTACGGGGACTATTTCACCCCTACTACTACCACATGATATCAAACATAATCATATTGTCTAGCATGGCTGGGTACTATACTACCCCTTCGACCCTATCGACCGAAAATCGGGGACTATTCCCCTTACTACTACTATCACATAACATCATACTATACTAACATGTAAAACATATCAGACAGTAGCAAACATAGATAACTATCACAAAGACAATTATCTAACAACAACTCCTACCAGTGGGCCGACATTGTGGCCTTAGATCCACTTCTACTGGAAGGTAACTCACCTCGATGTCGTGTAGTGTCTGCACTATCCTCGGTATGGAAATCAACTCTTCTCAACTCCTCAATCCCTACACGTCAACCTTTCTAAGTTACCATTTCATACTCATAACCCTTACAAGGGTCAATTCTAGTCCAAGTCAAAGTCAAGGTCAAAACCCTGGTCAAAGTCAACTTTGGTCAAAGTCAACATCTGGTTGACTAGACTCGCCGAGTTGGTCCACCAACTCGTCGAGTCCCCACGTCCACAAAATGCTACAACCCTGTCCCTACTCGTCGAGTCTAGCAAGAGCTCGACGAGTTCCCTTCAATAGAACATCAGGACCTCCTTCAACTGACTCGTCGAGTTCATCCTTGAACTCGTCGAGTCCATCTTCATCAGCATGAAGGTGTTTAGTCTATGACTTGCCGAGTTCTCCTTGAACTCGTCGAGTCCGTCTTCATGTGGTTGGGACATTGCCTTGAACTCACCGAGTCCGCTCATACACTCGCCGAGTTCCATGATTTCCAGGTCCCTAATGAGCTTGGAAAACTGAGTGTTCTTCTATCTTAGCATCTGGTCCATCAACAGAGGGATTTGATGGAAAATATAACCCGAATCGCCGAGTCCCATGAACGACTCGCCGAGTCCCTCTTTGTCCAAAACTATACAGTCGATTTCAGTGGGTCTTAATGCATCCAAATCATAGATCTGACCTCATAGGGTCCACTTTATACGTAAAGTTACGAACTTGGTGTCCATGCATGGGGATTTTGGCTCAAAAGGCTATGAAATGGGGTTTATAAGATGCATGGGCTTCCCATGGCCATAAAGTTCGCACCTTTATGCCATGGGAACCCTCAATGGTTCCAGATCTGAAGCTAACACTTCACAATATGATCCAAACCCAAAGGT